CTAGAGTAGTTACAAGTACGGTATAGCTTGTAATAGGCTCCTGTATTACTAAGGGCGTGAAAGAGAGAGACATTCCGCCTCTAGGAGTAAGTCCCTGCTGGTGCACAAATGGAGTCCAACTTGTTTTGTTCCTTGCTTAAGGTGTTTCAGTGAAGTCAGTTTTCCCTGTACTCGATTTGGTTTTGCCGATGGGAGTTGAAGCATCTCAACCTCATTCTGTAGATCTTGTAGGTATTAGCCTCGTGGCCATCGTTGGTCAGTCCGGCCAGCGCAGGCAGTTCGAAAGTTGGCAGCTGGTTCATCTTTTTGGTGCTGTTTAGGAGTGTCTGGTGGCCTGCGCATTCGTGGAGTCATCTTGCTGCCTTACCCACCTTCCTATTCCCGAGTGAAGTTGCTCAGCGCACACGGGATTGGTTTCTGTTTCCTTTTCTGTGTGCCCTGTACCGTACTTGCTCTGGTCACTTTCAGAAAAGAATAATAAAGAGTAGGAGAGTCACTCCTCAGTGTCACCACCCCTCACCTCAGAAAAGCAAAATCACCTTCTCTGTTTTAATTCCTTAAGAAATGGCATTTTTGGGCCGGGCGTGGTGGCGCATGCCTGTAATCTCAGCACTTGGGAGGCTGAGGCAGGAGGATCGTTTCGAATTCGAGGCTAGCCTAGGCTACAAAGCGAGCTCAAGGTCAGCCTGAACTGCGTAGGGAGACCCTGTCTCAAAGGGACAAAAAAGACCAAAAAAAGACACACACACAAAAAAGAAATGGCATCTTTAAAACCATGTTAATCTTTGGCGGAAGTCAGCAGAAGAAAACCCCCACCCTGAGGCTACCTTGCTTTTCCCTAAAGGTTTATTGTTACAGCTTTCATGCAGTTAGAGTCTTTTGCTGACCCCAAAGTGGACTCCTAAGTGTGCACAGGAGCGGTGCCTGCACACGCGCACCCGGAGGCGCTCTGCACAGGGCAGAACAGGGAAGCAGCGCAAGTCTTCGCATCGTGGACCCTGACTGCACCTCTCTGCAGGTACAGCGGGCCGCATTGGACCCTGCAGTGGCTGAGCTTCAGAAACCCGAGTCTCGGGAGTATCGTACAGGACAGGACGTTAGAAAACTGAGCAAAATTGATGCAGTGTCTGACCACATATAACTAGCATGTGTGTGAACGTTAAAACGACTTCGAAGGGGCAGGTTAATACACTTTTCAAAATGTGAAGCATATTTTGATGATAATAAAGGCAGGGCAGGGAGTAGGGAGAAGCCCCGAGGAAAATAGAAAGAATGCCCAGGGTCAGAAGGGTGGCGTTGGATGTTTGATGAAATTTGCTGTATACTTTAAATGTGCACTACATATTCCCTTCATACATCAAACGTTGCACTGAAATATATAGTACAGCAGGAAAGCCCCTCGGCATAAAAACGGTTCTAAGTATGATCTGGTTTGCACAAAAGAAAAAGGTACGAATGAGAACGCCAAACCTAATAGTGTTTCTCTAGGTAAGATAAGTTTCTTTGAGGGAGGAGCAAGAGAAGAAGGCAGGCCATTGCTCAGGACCACGGAGCCTGGAGTGACGGCTTGAAATTGTCACCACCTGGGTGGTGAGGCAGGAGGGTCACGAGATTGAGCCCAGCCCAGGCAATTTAGTCATTAAGAGTAATCAAGTCTCAGAATTTTACAGTGTGCTGAGCTGTAGCTCAGTGCAAAGGTCTGGGTTTAATTCCCTGGTGAGGGAGTGGCAGGGCCTATGGATTCAGAAAACTCAGTTTTGGCTAAAATTAGCAGTCAGCAGTCAATGTCCAATGTCCTGCATCCCGAGTCTCAGACAGTTTCCCTGGAAAAATAACCCTGATTCTCAGGACGTACTTGGCAGGCCCAGGTGGGGCTTCACTTCAGTTGGTTTCTTTGCATTATTTGCTATATCGAATCTGCTTTCAGCGCAGTATTAACAGTTCCTGTATGGTGAAGTGCAGTTAATCAAAGGCTCTTCCTCCTGCTTCTTTTCCAGTCTAAACCCTAACTCACCCTCCAAAGCCCTCGGTCTGTTACTCCCTGGATCCCACCCTGAATACTGGGCCTGGCTGAGCGTGGCTGTCCAGCTCACTGCAGGCCCGGGGCTACTTAGCTCTTCAGTAGCTCTTCGTGGCAGCCCTCCGGCAGTCGTGTGTGTACATGTGTATGTTGTTCATGTGTTATGTATTTGTGTGATGTACGCGTGTCTCCCTCCCTCAATTCTGTGAGAACAGACTTCATACTTTTGTATTTGTGTATCTTCTTCCCCATCTCACCTACAACAGTTGAGAAGAGTAAATTCACCTCACACACACACGTTAATTTTAAAATATTTTACATGATGATACTTCATAATACAGGTGGCATTGATAATCTTCATTTAGACACATAAGCAGTGGCAGATTCTAGCACTGGTTTATTTTCCAGAGTGAGGCGGCTAGCAGATAAAATCCAGAACAAAAAGAGAATTTAGAGGGATTAAGTTATGTAAGCAGATTCTCTGGGCCAGAAAAGATACCACAGAGGCTACTGCAGGTTACCAGTACACACCACCGACATAGATAAGGTATGTCTGTGAGTGATTTTGTGATCAGGAATTATCTGCGTGGTTTGCAATTATCAGCAGGGACAATGTCTGGAAGAATGTAGGGGATGAATGGGACATGACTGGCTAGAATCTGCAGATCTGAAAGAAGCAAGCAGAAGTTACTCACGGCCACCCTGTAAACGGTTTACATATCATCTCATTACTCCTCATTATTTAGATAGTCAAAGTTTTGAAACATAGACAGAAGCAAATAGGAGCTTAAAGGTAGATTTCAGGAGTTTTTTGCCTCTAATCTGTTTGCTAAAATAATCTTAATAACTTTAGTCCATTGCTAATCAATCAGCCTTGGGAATTGTTTGGAGCTGATTCAAACTAGGATATTACTTTAGAGTTGTCACTGTGCCTTAATCACTTTTCTGTCATCCGGAAAAAGTTACCTGACACTTGCCAGTTAAAGCAGAGGTTTACTTGGGCCCATGTTTCTTCAAGGGCTCAGCCTACAGCTGGCTGGGTCCTGGGTGAATCCAGGAAGACAGTAGCACCCCATGATCCACTCACCTTCTGAACACTTGGGACTTTGGGGGATAGTTTAGATCACACTAAAATGTATGCCTGGTAGCTCCCAAAATTCATGTAACTTGCCCCCAATACTTTTTCCTAAAGAATAAGGTGTAGAATAGAAAGGAACACAGTGGAACATAGAAACAAGAGCCACACCCTGATCTAGGACATTTCCCCAGCCCCATGCGGTTGCCAGGATTAGTGACCCTCTGGCACCTAGGCTCCTTCGTCTTCTTTATTGGAAACTCTGTGCACCCGGCCGTGCAGACAGTCAGCAACGCGGGACGGAGCTGAGCTCTGAGTCACTGCTTTCTAGGTGCCCTACACTGTGCCACCCTTCAGTGATGACATCGTCCTGGGCACGTGACATTATGTCACGACTTTGCTGAGTTATATTTTAGGTGGGGCCATGTGTATCTTTTCATCCACAAACTTCCAAGCCATCCCAAATATGTGTTTTCTGCAGCCGAGCAGTTCATCCATTTCCTGCTACTTGTCAGCTTGTCTTTCAGAGGTTGGCCATTTTGCTTCTGTCATCAAATGACGAAGGTGATTCCTCCTGGGAGACGGCAAGAGGCAGAGAGGAGTGGCAGCAAAATGGAAAACAAATCAAAATGAAACTCAACCCACACTTGAATAATGATTAAAATACTTCTATCGCCAGGCGTGATCTTACATGCTTATAATCCCAGTGCTCAGGAACTTGAGACAGGAGGGTTCGAGGCCAGCCTCAACTATGTACCAAGACACTGTCTCAAAAAAAGAAAAAAAGAAAAAATCTATTGACTCTTACAGAGTAGAACATACAGCTGTAGGTATTCCAAGGGGTCAGTAAATGTAAGTACTTAAACTTTGGAGCTTTTATCACAGTCCTTACAAGGCAAAACCATGTGAGCTGAGCTGGTGGGGACAAGTGTGTGTAAAATCCCTGACATAGGAGGGAACAACGACCCTAAACAATATTCTGGGTGTGGTGGCACGTGCCTGTATTTCCAGCACTCTTTAGGCTGAGGCAGGAGGATTGTTGCAAGTTCAAGGCCAACCTGGGCTACAAAGTGAGTTCGAGGCCAGCCTGAAGTGCATGGTGAGGACCCTGTCTCAAAAAGACAAAGACAAAACAAAAAGAAACAATATCCTATGGGGTCACTGTACAAGGACGTGCTTTTTTAAAGTAATTTTTTAAATGGAGAAATTAGGAAATGTAAAAACGGACCACTGGGCCCTAAAAGTAAGCATCTGAGAACTTTTAAGTTTCAGACGCACAGGGGCAGCCCCAGGCAGCCTTAGGAGCAGCAGCAGGAGCTGTGACTGGGGATGTAGCTCAGTGGCATAAGCACCTGCTTGACAAGCACAAAGTCCTGAGTTTGATACCCAATATAAAAACAATAACAAAAAAAAGATGTAAATGCTTGGGCCTTATATAAGAAGACATAATATAATGGGATGTTTTTATTTCTGTTGGAATTACCCTGAATGCAACAAAGGCCAACATAGCTGACTCCAGGATATGATTTTTTGAAAAGGCTAATGAATTTTGAATGATATTTGAATGGAATAAAATGTAATTTTTTGTTGATTTTTTAGGATGACCGCATTAGTGTACAATTCAGTTCACATTAAATTCCATACAGAGAGAGACACCTTCTGTAAAAATAGTTGGGTTCTGTGCTCGGGGTCGGGACTGAGGTGAACACTGAGCCGCGGCTCCGCAGGAAAACGTGGTGTGAGCAAAAACAAACAAACAAAAGAAGCAGAGTTTAGAATAAAAGAAGACGATTTAATGAAGGTGGGGAAAGGGGAAAGACAGAGAGGACAGCTACTGTGGACCAGCAGGGAGTACTCCAAAGTGAAAACGCACCAAGTTTTTCTTCAGCTCACTTTTTTCAGGAACTAGCATCTTCTCCATCTCCTGTGTGGGCAACTGAAGGTTGTCGCCGTGATTTGCTCTCTTGGCGATCTTTGATCCTAACCTAGGCTGTCGGGCTGCATTCCTTTTGGCTGGTTGATTCGTTTCTATCCCTTTGTGCTGGTGGGGGGCTTTATAAAAAAACACCTTAGACTTAATGATTAAATAAAAAATATGTACATATATATCTGATGTAATATAATGATGTTAAAGTAAAAGCACATACACATGTATGGATGTGTGCGTGTGTGTGTCTGACATACTAAGAGTCCTGAGGGCAGCCCTTTATCTCCCTTGCATTTTATCAAGTGGGTGAAGAGCTGGTTTTCCTGTCTGTTACGTTTCTGGCTGCTTTGGGCTAACTCAAATTTTTGATAAATTCCTCTCTCAGCCCAACTTTTCTCTCCCCCTTTGCCTTTTTAATTGTTCTAGCTGCAGAGCCTACCTATAGAGACAAAAACTCCCTTTATTAAGGTTTTGTATTAATTTTTAAGATAAAGCTTAATGAGGTCCTATTTTATCCTTTTTCATGCCTACGGCCTGCTGTCCCTATCCTCAGACAATCAGATTTTTCACCTTTGATTGACTTCAAGGTATGTGAAGGTCATGGCTGGCCAAAGACATGAATCAAGAATCCACCTGATTCCAGAATGCTCTGTAAGTGCTGGGCACTGTTCTCTGACAACACAGACATCACATTATTGCAGAAGCTCGTAGTGGGCATGTCAAGCTGGGAGCGGCTGGAAGAAAGCAAGGAATGCACTGATGTCCTGGAATGCCCGCCCGCAGCAGTGGAGACGAGTCATCCAGAAGAAAAGCTCAGAGGCCTCTGCCCCAGGCAGGCCAGGGGGGTCACATGGCCAGTTTGGTAACTGCAAGTTCTCCTTCCTGAGTCACATGTGGACCTGTGAAAAGCGCGGGTCTCAATTCAGAATGGGGTTTAGCTTGGGATGGACAGGGTCACAGCTTGGAATCCTCCTTGGCAGCTACTCTCAGGCCAGCTTGACCTTTGTGGAAACTGTCAGTGGGGACACTGTTACCCTGACTTTGGGTCAAAGTGGTGGCCGTGAGATTCCTATCAGCGTCGACCTGAACAGAATACACACAGGACAGAGATCAAGTGTTTGGCCACCCCCGTGCCACTGGAGCGCCTGCATGCCCCGGAGACCTTAGGAGCACGCAGGAACTCAACTGTTCTAAAGAACACAGTGCCATGCAGGTCACAGGGAAGAACGCCCTCGATAGCTTCCTCCAGGCTGGCCTCGGACTCTCCCTTTGCAACAGTCACGTCCGTGTGGAAGCCTTAGTCCCCAGCCAGAGGCGACCTGGCTCCCCACTTACCTTTCCGTTACTTAGAGGCTGAGGAATTCCTCTGATGGGGAAGTGACAGACACTGAGCCAGGACACACTAGGGAGACAGGAGGCGCACTGCAGCTGCTCATCATGGGGAACCACTCCCAGATATCTGGAGAATTAATTTTCAGCCCCTGTGTCCTTTTCACCAAGACACTGTACCAAACCTGCAGGACAGGAATGGAGTCCGTGCGCATGCGGGCTCCAGGCAGGATCCAGGGCTTGCTTCTCCTGGAGCCTGATGTTTTTGGGTGGAAGACAAACATTATTTGGGAAAGGGTCTTTAACGAGAACAGTGACACTGTAGAGACTAACTTGGCAGAAGAGCAGAGTGAAGAGGGTGAGAAAGAAGACAGCCTCGGCAGTGATGGCGTAGAGGTTCGGGGCGGGGAGGGCCAGTCCGGGAGCCACTTCCTGCTACCCACTGCCACCTCCCCTTCCCCTGGCTCCTGCTGGGCCTCAGCCTGGTGTCACCTTCTCCCTGGCTCCTGCAAGTGTCAGGAAGGCTTTGGGTCGACCCCTTGTCACGGCAAATTTTACAGGTGAGAGGAGCCAGTTTTCCATCGTCACTATCTTGGTCGTCACAGTCGCAGCTGGACTCACACTACCGACCCAGTGCCTCAGCTCCAAGCAGAGCCCGCAGGCCGCATGTCCCGCATCTGAGGCCAGCTTGCTGCCCACGGCCACATGCGCTTGAACCGTGTGGGCCGTCGCAGTCTGAGCCCGAGCTGGTGCAGGGGCCTGGCGGGCGGGAGGCCGGGCTTCCGGTACCCGCCTGCTCACTGTGGACCAGCGCGTTCCCATCTGCACAGTCGGCAACAACTTCGTGTGAAATGTTGGAGCCGAGTCCGACTATCATTCTTTCTTTTTTTCTTTTTAATCACTTAGGACGGAGTTACTGGCAAAGTGAGAGTTTAGTGCTGGCACGTCTCAGAGGCCTTTCTAACACTAATCTCTCTTTTCTCTTTTTTTTAAAAAGAGCAACAACAAACCTCAGACTCAGAGTAGCAGACAGCAAACAGCACATAACTAGAATTAAATAATTTTGCTTTACACCAGGTATGGTGGTGGCACACACTTGTAATCCTAGTACTCTGGATGCTGAGGCAGGAGGGTTCCCATGAGTTTGTTATAGGCAGCTGAGTTAGAAATATTAAAGGCAGTCAGACAGGGCCAGGCCCTTAAAGGAGCCAACATGAAAGACAAGATAAGATACCTGTGGGCCAGACCTCAAGACAAAGAACTGAACAAACGTACCCACATGCCTCTCTAGGTATGAACATCAGGGACTGACTTTTTTTTCTTTTTTGGGGTACTGGGGATTGAACTCAGGAACTTGTGCTTGCCAGGCAGGCGCTTATGCCACCGAGCTATATCCCCAGCCCCTTGATATTCTAAATAGGTAACAACCCCCTTCAAAAAGCCACAAAGAATCACTAGCCCAACCCCCTACAGGAAAGGCCCCTCTTCTGTGTTCATGCCTGTTTGCTACATGACTCGCTTCCCCATTTGATCCCAGTTTACTCAACTTTACCTGAACTATTATACTTGTAATCGTATTGGCTGACCATAGTTTTGTTTCAGCTCAGGCCCATCTTGTAATTTCCCATTTTCCCCCTACCTTAGACCCACCTCACCTCAGTGTTTTGCTCTATAAAGTCCCTGGGAAGGGCAAGGTCCTTAGCAACCCACTCGGGCCCTCTTCCGTCCCTCTCTTGGACAGAAGCTTTCTTTTCTTTCCCTCAATAAATATATTCTGCTCTTAACCTTTGTTGTTCCTAAAATTCATTCTTCGATTTTAGAGAACACGAACTCATCCCAGATATCATTCAGGTTGGGAGTTTTTATTTTCCTGTATCAAGTTCGAGGCCAGCCTTGGCTACACAACGAGTTCAAGGCCAGCCTGTACTACATAGCAAGACCCTATCTCAAAAAACAGAAAAGCCCCAAATAAATAAATAAATAAATGTTATATTTTATATTGTTTTATCCTCACCCTGTTTATGGTCAGATGTAGAAATTCTCAGTAAAATAAAGTTCTTTAAAGTAAATTGATTAGATTTTATAAAGAGTAGGGCTAAAGAAAAAGATTAACAATAATATAGGTTGCACTCACCTCCCGTTACGAAAAACACCATGGTAAAGGTGGAAGTTTGAACACTACAGTAACATAAAATCATCAATGTTAAAACAGAGGTCTAGTTTTATTTTATATGAACTTTATCAATTATAGATAACAGTTATTATGTGAATATAGAAATTGTCCTTAGCATTCACTGAAACTGCTATAGGGGAGCGTGAACTTCTGCATAGTGACCATCTGGGAGATTCTTGGAAGAGGCTGAACAAAGTCAACCCTGAAAGAGCGAGCTGCTGCGACTCAGTGGATGTGCAGAGCTGCTGAGCAGAGAACACACTACCCCGATCTTTAGCAGCTTACACAGAAAAGTTTGCTACTGACCAGGGGCCTTGAGTGCCCAGCACCTGGAAGCGGCTCTTCTGGTGGCCCAGGATCTCCCGAGGTCACAGCCCAGGCCCCCAGTCACAGGCTTCCAGGCCCAGAGCTCCTGCTCGAGGTGGCCCATCCCTGTTCTGCTGTCTCAGCTCGGAAGCCACACGCCCACTGGCACCTCCTGTGGACCCGCCTGGCTCCGGGTGCGAGACCTCACCTTCGAGAAAAACAAAAGGCAACTCTCACTGGGGATGAATGGCTGGGAGCTCATGTGTTGACACAGAGCGCAGGAACCTGGGCTTCTCCCGAATCCGAGGCCCTGGCTCCGCCCAGCGCCTGTCTCCTTGTTCTTCACCTGGGTGCTTGAGCAAAGTGAGAAGACGCAGATCGCACGCCTTACACACGACTCCTTTGAAGCCCCAGATCTGACGAGAACTCACAGCCAAGCACACCCTCGCAAGGCACTGAGAATTCCGAACCTAGGACGGCACAACCCGGAATGCTCACCGCCTTCGAGCCTTTGACGTCCCCACGCTCTGTAGAGCGCAGGCCCAGACCGGCTCCTCCTCCTCCCCCCGGGCCCACCCCTCCTGGTTTCCTCCCCGGGCCGTCTCCCCAGGCGCTCTCCCCTTCCAGTCTCACGTGCCTGGTGGGCATTCTGTGACTGTCATTTAGGATGGAAAACACAAAACTGTTCCGTCTTTTTTCTGTTATGTTTTTCTCCCCAACATTCACTATTATCCAACATTCTTTTTAAAACTATGGCTTTTTTTCTCTACAGAAAACGAAGTCTTTCACTGTGGGACTTTTTATCTCGTTCTTGTTATATTTTTCATCCCTCAGCGTTCCTAGCATGACCAATACCTCCTACAAGAAAAAACGAGGAAAATACCACAGTCAACACGGTATGGGCTGAACTCTGAGGTTGTTTTATGAGTATAAAGTGTCTCAGATCTTTCACATTTCAAATAAATACATAGTATTCACATCAACCTTCCAAATTCTGTTTTGGACCCTCCCCCTCATGGACTCTCCTGCAAGCTGCTATACAGGCCACCCTTCCCAGGGCCTTTCCAGGGCAGCTGCCTCCAGAGAGGGAAATTAGGCTGGGCTGCTGTGCAGGTCCAGTTACAAAGGAAGACTTGCTTGGTCTGCCTGGACAGAACAAAGGTGTGGAGCCAAAGGCGGGGGAAAGGTTGGCAAACAGGTGCTCCGTCACGAGAGGAAGAAGGTCTGGTGCGGTACTGCACAGCGCGGTCATTACTAGCAACAACTGCATCGATACCTTTGAAAAAGCTAGAAGGGGGGGCTGGGGATTTAGCTCAGCGGCAAAGCGCCTGCCTGGAAAGCGCAAGGTCATGAGTTCAGTTCCCGGTACCGGAGAAAATCCCCCCCACAAGAAAAAAAAAAAAGCTAGAAGGAAGATGTGTTACTTACTTTTCTCTCGTGGCTGAGACAAAATACCTGACACCCAGAACTAAGGAAGGAAAGGTTTATTTAGCTCACAGTCTGTGGAGGTTTCAGTCCATGCTCCGCCGGCTCCACAGCAGGGTGGCGGGGCACAGGAGCAACAAGGCGGCAGATGACAGCAAAAGCAGCAAGAGCAAAAGCGGAGAACAAGCCTCTTTTCCTCTCATACTGTAAGCAGGCTACCACCTCCTAGGGCAGGCGTAGCACTCATACCCTCTCCCTGTCCTCTTCACCCGATGAGGATGTTTACAAAGTGAGGCCCCTGGCCCCCTGCTGAGCTGCTTAAACTTCTCAGCTTCTCAAGCTGACACAATGTATCAACCATTACAAAAGGGTTTGCAATATCTTCTGTAAAGATACCATGCTTGAGGAGATAGGTTTAACTATAACCGGATTTAAACGTTATAGAGTGCATATATGTTCTGAAATATCACATAATATCCCACTAATGTCTACAACTTTTTTTACGTATATCAATTAAAGATAAAGTAAAATATGAAGATTATTTTAAAATTTAAAGAGAGACAGAGACAAAGACCAAGACAGAGACCCAGACGGAGGAGAGCCAGTAGAACAAATGGCTCCAGAGAAGCAAAAGTGCACAATGCAGAATTCACGAGGCATTCTAAGTCTCACACCAGTCATGTGACTCTGAGTGACTGTTACTTCCAACTGACAAACCCACAAGCTGAGTTTTCAAGAAACACCACCCCTGATGCTTTGATATGGCCATGTGCCTTAGAGGTTCGTCTCATTTCGAGGCTGGGAACCAGAGTAGGTCCCACAGACCAGCATGAATGGAGGAGACAGGCCTTGGTGGCTAAGCCACATTACAAAATATTACAGTAAAAGTAGACTAGACACAAATGATGTTTTTGAGGTTCTTGGTCTAGAGTAGAAAATAGACGCTGGAAAGACAGGGAGGTCCCAGGGTGCATACAGGCCGTGCGTGCGTGCGTGTGTGTGTGTGTGTGTGTGTGTGTGTGTGTGTGTGTATAAAAGTGAGATAGGAGGGATGAAACCCCAGAAAAACTTCAAGGTGAAACAGCCCAGCATGATGGGGCGTGTCCTCTTATCCCAGAAGTCTGGGAGATGAGGCGGGAAGAGAAAAATTCCAGGCAAATTCCATCACAGCAAGAAGGGTGGGAGGGAGGGAAGGGGGGTGCTCACGGCTTTGAAGGACAGACGCGATCTGGAGGAGGACCAACAGGGACTGCACAGCACCGTGAAGGTGCAGCGCCTTTGAGGACCCAGAGGTCCATTTCCTTGCTGCATCAGCATCAGGACTGATTTCAGATTCCATGTTGGTTTACCCAGTAAAGAAATGACCTAATCAGGAGCCCTCACGGATTCCACATGCGTTGCCTGCCACTTTCCGAGGGTGAGGGACCGTCACTGGCTTTGTCTGCACTGGGCTTACCTCTGTCCTTTGCTTGCTGAGCTGTCAGCCCTTTCTTGCTGTTTATTCTCACAGTCCCTCACAGTCCCATCTGAGGCTTCCCGCATTCTAATGAGAAGACTGAATGATATCTAGAAACGCAAGAGGCATTTAGGTTTTTATGTCTTAATGTCTGACGTTCTGCAGGAATTAGGACTTGTATTTCCAGACATGGAAATAGTAACATGACTACCAGCCTAAACATCTAAATACCGGGATAATTTCTCTCTTGAATTAAGAAAAAAAAAAGCTTTATCCCCTTTACTTTTCAAAAATGCTTTGTTGTTTACAGTTTTCCCCTTGTTGAACATTAAGATAGTGAAATACAATGTGCTAGTTCAAAAAAAAAAATCTTAAGATTCTAAATTCCTTCAGTGAAAAATTCTGACTTAGGGACACAGTACATCGTACACAGAAATGCACACCTTTAAAGGGGTAAAATATGAGATGAGCACGGAAGGCAAGACCTGGTGACATCACTTAGAGGAACTTCTAAGGCAGGCATCTGGGAGGAGCGCCGGTGGCCTTCTCTACTCGGCCCAACTACAGCTAGGAACTGGTGCGCTGTGAGGACCTACTCCCGCCTTCAGCTGGTTAGTGATGGGTTCCATTTCAACTACACCCTTAACACCAGGTCACTGAGCACAGTAGGACTTAAAAGTACACAGCAAAGAACATGAGAAACCCAAACTGGGGCTGTGACGCGTAAAATGGAGACCTGTCACAAACCACGCGAAAACATTTAGCTTAAAATGCACTTAAAACTTGTGTACAATGTTAAACGGACCACTCGTTACCGCTATCCATTCTGATACTCAAATAACATGACAAAGTTCCTCAACAGGTCTGTCCAAGTAAACTGTCTCGGTTGCATTTTAAGATACCAGGTAAGACTGCATTGACAACAGTAGGAGCACTTACCAAGAGCTTCACTTCTGAGACAAATTCCGTGCCAGCTCTGTTTAGAAAGAGTGGGTGGCTCTGAAAAGAGCCTTTGGGGGCGGGCGGCGGGGCGGCCGCGCTCACTTGGAGCTCGT